AACTCTTCAGATGTAAGTTTGTCATAGTCTAAAGCTTTTTACTTAATCTCATGTGGTGTCAAAGATGTTTATTGAGCTTATTTTAAGGGAAGTATTGTTATACACTGTGGCTATACATAGTACTAAGCTGATAAACAAGGGACTGAAAAAGACAAATACTGAATAATTCATTTAAATTTCCGTCAAAACGTTTCATTAATGGATTTCTTCCCCCATCCAGGCCCTGGACAAAATCCGCTATGAGAGTCTCACTGACCCCTCCAAGCTGGACAGTGGCAAAGACCTCAAAATCGAAGTAATTCCCAACAAAGAGGAACGCACCCTGACCCTGATTGACACAGGTATCGGCATGACCAAAGCTGACCTGATCAACAATCTGGGTACAATCGCCAAGTCTGGCACCAAGGCTTTCATGGAGGCTCTACAGGCTGGAGCCGACATCTCCATGATTGGTCAGTTTGGCGTGGGTTTCTACTCAGCCTACCTGGTGGCTGAGAAGGTGACGGTCATAACCAAGCACAATGATGACGAGCAGTACGCCTGGGAATCCTCTGCTGGAGGCTCATTCACAGTGAAGGTGGACAACTGTAAGTAATGTTAAGGCCATTGTTTTGTTGCCAGTTAACACTTAGCTTTGGTAGAGGGGTTCCTACAGGGTAATCTGTAACTTTTGACTCCTTTTCCCCCCTATAGCTGAGCCCATTGGGCGTGGCACCAAGGTGATCCTGCACTTGAAAGAAGACCAGACAGAATACATCGAGGAGCGAAGAATCAAAGAGATTGTGAAAAAGCACTCCCAGTTCATTGGCTATCCCATCACACTCTTTGTAAGCACTTGAATTTGCATTTGAATTGTGTATTAAATGGCTAAATTAATTTAAATCAGTTACCTTGACTTAGCAAAGTCATCCAAAAATCACAGCTAGTGACTAAATTATTTTTTTTCAGGTGGAGAAGGAGCGTGACAAGGAGGTGAGTGATGATGAGGCAGAGGAGGAGGAGAAGGACCAAGACAAGGACCAAGACGAGGAGAAGGACGAGGACAAGCCCGAGATTGAGGATGTTGGGTCAGATGAGGAGCATGATCACGACAAGTCTTCTGACAAAAAGAAGAAGAAGAAGAAGATCAAGGAGAAGTACATTGACCAGGAAGAGCTGAACAAGACCAAACCCCTGTGGACTCGTAACCCAGATGACATCACTAATGAGGAGTATGGCGAGTTCTACAAGAGTCTCACCAATGACTGGGAAGACCACCTGGCTGTGAAGGTAGGTCTCTTAACTTTATTTTTTTTATATTTCTTGGAAATGCATATGTTGTCTATATTGTGCATATTTTAATACAAGTGATATAATCAATTTGAATAGTGACCCTATAACTGAGCTCTCACCCCCCCTCCACAGCATTTTTCAGTGGAGGGTCAGCTGGAATTCCGCGCCTTGCTCTTTGTCCCTCGCCGCGCTCCCTTCGACCTCTTTGAAAACAAGAAGAAGAAGAACAACATTAAGCTTTACGTGCGCAGGGTCTTCATCATGGACAACTGCGAGGAACTAATTCCTGAGTACCTCAGTGAGTATGAACCCAATGTGGAATTACTTTTTATGGAATTTGTTCATAAATCAAATAATCATTATATTAGAAATTTAAAGGTATTGCTGACCAGGTGGTCTTTATCCATCCTCTCAGATTTCATCAAGGGTGTGGTGGACTCTGAGGATCTGCCCCTGAACATCTCCAGAGAGATGCTGCAGCAGAGCAAGATCCTGAAGGTCATCCGCAAGAACCTGGTCAAGAAGTGCCTGGAGCTCTTCACTGAACTCTCCGAGGACAAGGACAACTACAAAAAGTACTACGAGCAGTTCTCCAAGAACATCAAGGTTAGTGTTCTCACCTTGCTCCATGAGAGCTGCAGTTTTCCTGATCTTGTCACATTTATGCTTTTGGCAACCAGCTTTGTTTGATACTGTGTTAATGGCATCACAAATTAAGACAGATCTAATCAGAATTTTAGCAGGATGGAGCTTACTTTTAGCTCAAAGTGTAAAGCTTAACAAGAATTTCCCCAGACCTTTTATGCAGTAGCTATCACTCTGATCCTTTGGCCATATTGTCCACATGTAAAACTGCTGAGTCTTGTTTGGAGCTCCTTACTGTTATCTTCTGTTTAAAGGCACTCTAGTAAGCAATGGTTGCTAGAATAAATGTCAATTGAATTGATGTCTACTGATGCACCTTTGTTTTCAACCCCTGACATTTAGTTTTATTTGTCTTTTCAGCTCGGCATCCACGAGGATTCTCAAAACAGGAAGAAGCTGTCTGAGCTGTTGCGATACTACACCTCAGCTTCTGGAGATGAGATGGTTTCCCTGAAGGACTATGTAACACGTATGAAAGACAGCCAGAAACACATCTACTACATCACCGGTGAGGATGCTCTTCATCTATAAACTGTTTAATGTAAATGTATGAAAGCATCCTAAAATGAGGTAAAGTGAGTTGACTCATGTGACAGCATTGCCATGTCTGTATTTCAGGTGAGACCAAAGACCAGGTGGCTAACTCTGCCTTCGTGGAGCGCCTTCGCAAAGCCGGCCTGGAGGTCATTTACATGATCGAGCCCATCGACGAGTACTGTGTGCAGCAGCTGAAGGAGTTTGAGGGCAAGAACCTGGTTTCGGTGACAAAGGAAGGCCTGGAGCTGCCTGAGGATGAGGAAGAGAAGAAGAAGCAGGAGGAGAAGAAGGCTCAGTTTGAGAACCTGTGCAAGATCATGAAGGACATCTTGGAGAAGAAGGTGGAGAAGGTGAGTAGATTGTTGTAGAACTTCAGATTGTGTATAATCCACTGTTGTACAAATAAGGCAGAAAATGGTGTTAATTCTTGTGTCACCTCCACAGGTCACAGTCTCCAACCGCCTGGTCTCTTCCCCCTGCTGCATCGTCACCAGCACCTATGGCTGGACAGCCAACATGGAGAGGATCATGAAGGCCCAGGCCCTGAGAGATAACTCCACCATGGGCTATATGGCTGCTAAGAAGCACCTTGAGATCAATCCTGACCACCCCATCGTGGAGACCCTGAGGCAAAAGGCAGAGGCTGACAAGAACGATAAGTCTGTGAAAGATCTGGTCATCCTGCTCTTTGAGACAGCCCTGCTCTCTTCAGGATTCACCTTGGATGACCCCCAGACCCACTCCAATCGCATCTACAGAATGATCAAGCTGGGACTTGGTGAGTATCTTGTGTTTATCTACACAACGGAAAACTTTCAAGACATTAAACTATGCATCTTGCAAATTTCCAAGCTATTAAATGGTAGCAGCGACATACTACCAATAAAACAATTTAAAATAAACCTGACGTCACTTTCGTGATCTGCATCCTTCCTCTTTCAGGTATTGATGAAGATGATCTGACACCAGATGAAGCCACCCCTGCTCCCACTGAGGACATGCCCCCTCTTGAAGGGGACGATGACGACACATCCAGGATGGAGGAGGTGGACTAGGCCTGTTTCTGTTGCCTGCTAGCTTTCAAATGTAGTGTTATATAAAATTTAAAGTTTGAATGTTGTAAATGAGCCTGGAACGTCCCCCTTTTTGACCAATTTTACTTTATTTTCCCTTGCGTTGACCATATGCAGTTCAGATTCATTGATGTCATGTTTTGTATTTTTTTTTTAACTTATTGACATTCCAATGGTTCTTTGTGTTTTCTTACTTTTACTGTAAATATTTCAAGATCAATACATTTATTTGAAAGGAGTGGGACTGACAAATAAAGATTTACCAGGTTAACAAGTCATATTGGTTCCTTCCATCTTTACTGAGTTACCTGTCCAGTGTTTAAGTAGTTGTCACAAGACAGTAGAAAATGTTAGAATACAGTATAAAGTTCTAGTTGAAGATAAATTTCATCTTGTGAAATCTAAGGGGTACATTACAGGTAAAATAACTGTTGGAAGAAATGAAAATGCCTACAGGCAGTTACCCTGTAAGGTAAAGTTAACAGGATGGAGAAATTTGCAATGCTGGTAAGGCTTTTATGGGCTGTATGGCTAGGGAAATATTTGACCAGGGGACCTTAAGTGTTGACTCCAAATAATCATCTTAGCCTTGACGATGGCTTCCTTCTATTCAAGTGTCAGTAAGCCATTACGGTGTGACAGTGAACCAGCATACACAATTTAAGAATTCTGCAATACTTTTTTTTTTTTTATACCTGTGCTTTTCTGTAATCTGACGTGTCAAAATGTCTACGTGAAAATGCTCGTTATGGGGAGGTGCATGTTAACATAATTCCAGTAGGTGGCAGTAAGGCGACACTGGGGATGCCTGAACCTTTCAAATATTCTAGAAAAATGTGCTAAACGCAGACCGAATAAAAAAGGTTGTGTTTGGCAGCGAGCGGAAAACAGAAGTTGGGTGAAAACCGAAAATGCTACAAACCATTGCCACATTGAAGTTGGTAGATAGTTGGCAGATAAACTTGCTTTATTATAATGTGAGAGATTCAGTAACAGAAAAAAACCCACTCAGTAATGACAAAGTGAGGTGCAAGAGTTGAATATGAAAGTCACAATGTGCACAGAAAATAAAAATGTTGAAAAATTATAAATGCCTTTTACAATTTCAAAATGCCCAAGTTGACATATTTAACATATTTTTGTGCAGTGTACAGCCCCAAATTCCAACTATATTCAGCTTGGTAGGCCTCTAGAAAACCACTACACATTTACATATAAGAAGACTTGACTTTGAAACATTGTGAGTTATAATTTAAGTGAGTGAAAAGTATTTAAAAAGGATTTATGGAATAAGGTCTGTAAGTGTCAAACGGAGAAGATGGGTGAACATCACAGTGCCTGCCTTCTGATGTGTTTGGTTGTAATAGCGTACCTGCCACCGGCAGGGTGCCCCCACTGCCTCGTGAATACGGTCTGTGTACTCAGCACGTCAATCTGAGGGGTTGGAGTCAGCTGACAGACAGCAGCCAATCAGAGGGCGAGGACAGGCTGAACCGCCTTGCAGTGTGGCGGTGCCCCGAGAGTTGTCAGGGTTTTGATTGTGGAGTATTCGGGCGGGGAGCAAGGGCGGCTACGGTTGTACAATGCCGAATAAAACGAAAAAAGACAAGGTGAGTTTGAGAATTACCAGGACGTTATGGTTGTTGGAAATAAAGTTTGCACGAGGTGCATTAAAGTGTATAAACCGGTGTCATAACAGGAGATTTAGCTTTCAGCGCAGTGTCCCATTACGTTAACGTTAGCAAGCCAGCAATCATCACCAGCTAGCCGCTGTCTGCCAACATGTTAGCACTTGGGACACTGTGCTACATTATTTAAATAAAGCGCCGTTATCTAGAAGTTGGATAGGTTAGTATACTTTGAATGCATAAGTTTTCCTAGACAATGTGTTAAAGTGTAAATGTAAGCGGGTTGTATATGTTTTTGAAGCTGAAATCCGGGGTCGTGTGAATGCTATTAACTCTGTAGTAACGTTGGCTAGCTAGCAGCAGACTTACCAATTGAAACTGCATTATGAGACTGGGTGGGCAGACATGCTATATTTAGTAACGAGTTTTATATGGCGGCACGCAAAAGATTGCGTATGGTGCTGTCAACCTATTTATCTGGTAATGTAAAGTTGAATGAAGTACTTCCTTTCTTTCAGGAATCCCCTAAGTCTGGAAAAGTGGGCAAGAGTGGAGGACAAGAGAATTCAGAACATGAGGTAGGCTAACCCAGGACACTTCACCAGAAAAACTTCCTGGAAGTTCAAAAAGATATTGTATCGTCACTGTTTGAAAATGCAGCCAGTGATATAATGAATCAATAAGCTCAATCCCTGCATCATCAGTGTCCATCCATTGCTGTCATTGCAGTGATTGTGTAAAAGGTCTGTGCATAATGCCTCCCAGGTGGGACACGGTCATGCCCTCAAATCAGTAAACTATTCTAAGCATGATGGAATATCTTGGATGATGTAGCAAAAAATGTATCACATTTATTTTATTTTCTACCCCTACAGTGAGCCCTGAGTGGACCCTCCCTTCTGTTGTCTAGTATCATGCTCCTATGAGTGGGAGGCGGTACACCTGTCTTGTAGTAAAGCAGACACACACAGAGGACAGGAAATCTCCTGTGGAGTGGAAGTGAAAAGCTGACTTGATTTAGGAATCGGGATTTTTTGGACATATTTAAATGGCATCAGAATTCTTCTTGCGAGCAAGATTGCAGCTTTTCTGATTTTTGTAATAGAAAAAGCATTTCTCACACAATATTGAATGTGACCGTCTTGCGATGTGTTAGTATACCCTACTTGTGTCTTGTAGCAGCTGCAATCCTGTTTAGTGATAAAGGAATCGCAGGTTTAGGCATTTAATTTACTGGCTTGGTTGTGGATCTTTGGTTGGCTGGTTGGGTGGATTCTGTTGGTGAATAGTGTTCATTGACAGGACTGGGTTGTACCTGGAGCATGATTGCCCTTCTCGTGACTCGCACTGCTGTTTGTTGATAACCTGGTGCTAAATTGCTTGTACATGACATCAGTTTAGGGTACCAGCCAATCACAGGCAAGAGTAGAGTTCACCAAGGTTTCTCCACTATTCGGACTGTTCACTGGTCACAAATCTTCATTCCATATTAACATACTTTCCAAACCTTTTCTAATACTGCCATTTGCAATTGCCTATCAGTTGCAGTATTTTTGCGATATGCAGTTAAAATCTTGATATCAAATAAAGTTAATAAAATATAATTGATGGTAGCATTTTAAAATGCATGACATTGTGCATGCCTTCCATGCTACTTAACTACCCACCCATAATCCAGGGGACAGACAAAATGACTTAAACTTTGTACTAAGCTTATCAGAATTATAAAGGCAGCTGGATGAGCATGTCATTAAGTTCAGTGCCAGCTAGAAGTATGGCTCACCCAATCCTTCTTTTACTATTATATGAGACATTAAGCATACATGAGGCCAAGGACCAAGACTCAGTAGTCCATGTCATACTTTCATGTCTGTTGGTTACAAAATAAATGGGTGTATATTGTGACAAGAATGATAGTCTCCTAAGGCTGAATTTGTGTCACATGATTGCCAGAAGCAACTTGAGTCAAGAGCTAATGCAAATGCTAACGCAACCTGTCAAGGTGTGTAAGAAATAATAATATAATAATAAACATTAACACGGTCTGACTAGCTATGACACTTGCTTAAGCTACATCTGGATTGTGTCACATCTGGAGTGGCCAAAGGGGAGCCATAAGCCCACATTACAAACTGTTAAACAGTGTGTTGGTCCTGTAACAGCGTAGGCATCTGGTGCAAATGATTATGTCACATTGTTGCACTACATGGTCTTGTACTGTATTTGGAAAATATTATGAGGGCTTTCGGCGGGATCAGATGCACAGTGTAGTTTCAAAAACATTGTCATGATTTTCCTTTGTTCCAAGATAAGAAAATGCATGTGTTAACAAACACAACAAACAGATTTAAGTCAAACTTCTTCCATGACCTCTGCAATCGCCATATCTAAACATCAATGAACTGTCACATGGCTCCAGTTTCCACTAGTAGCACTGGCAACTAGCTACTGAATTTAACTCAATAGCACCGCTTAAATCAACAGCTGACATCTGTTCGTGCAGTTTGAAAAGTGAAAGGTGGTTCTCGGCTTTACTGGGCATTCAATATTCATGTTTGGACTGCTGCTCACCACCTGTTTGTATTTTAGTGGCTGCTTTAATACATATTCTGGTTTGTTGTTATGTAAAAATGCATACTTTATTACTTTATAGTTAAAAGGCCAAAATAAGTTTTCTGCTACATATTTAAGAAAAATGCTTTTTATATTTTAGTCTAAATGTCACGTTAATAATATCTCCTTTACATATATTTTCTAGTCTTTGTTTTAATGGCAAGTAGTTATGAATAATTTACATTACATTAGTAAATCATAGATGACAGATGTTTAATGAACTTACAAGTATAGGAGTTAATTCCTATCATTATATTACATGAAAATGTAATTTAGTTCATAATGGAGGCCAGCTCTGCTTTATTTCCCGCTTTACTAGACAGCTTACTTATGGCCCAGTGCCTAAGCTTCTGTCTTGTAGTGCTGCACACACTGTGGCCAGGTTGAGCTGGGTCTTAACTGAATAATTCACCCGTGACTCAGGCTGACAGAGCTCCACAGCTGCATCTGGTGAAGTAAGCTCTGTGCCATCAGGTGTGTGTTGATGAATGGATCCCAGCAGGCACGTGGAACCAGCTGTGAGAAACTTGCCACATTCAGTTGATCCCGCATCAGGATATATCTAATGCTACTAACGCTTTATTGAGTTATATATCTTTTTTTGTGCATGTAATAGGTTTGGAAAGTGAAATAGTCCAAAGTCCAGCCAAAGGGAGTTTCCATCTCCCACAGAAAACTCTGCTTTGTTCATTTGTAGTCCAGCCATTTCCCTTTCATCCCTGTGACGTCACAGGGATGAAAGAGAATGCGCGTTATTTAATGCTTGCCAAGCAGCTAGTCCGACAATCCCTCAAAAACACTAAGCTGCAGCACACACCTCTCCTCTCCCTTCTAGCTACCCTCCAGGGAGTCAATGGACTCTTGCTCCAGTATATGACGCCAAGCTTGTTGGCAACATGTATAGCTGAACCAAAGCCATGTTTAACAGCTTCTCATTGATCTGCCCTTCTCTGCTTCTGATTGGCTAGTAGTCCTTAACTAGGAACTGTGCATGGGCAACTCCCAAAAAAGATCATTTAAAGACAAGATGTATCACTCCATAGCTAAAGTGAAGTGTTCACCACACAGGGTGAAAAGAGGAGCTGCAGCAATGTGCAGGATGACACAAAATATGGTGTTTTCTGAAAATTAAACTAAAAAATGTAAACCTGTTCTGGTACAACCACTACATAGGATTTTGAACCTGAAAATGAGCATAATACCACCTCTTTAGATTAAAAGGTCTCATCTAGTCGTGTACAGCAGTTGAAAGTCTTGGCAAGTAGCCACATGCACACAGTTTGATCCGATTCCTGAAAAGGTTCTTGCACTCTCATATGCTTGCTGCACCGCAGTGTCACTAATGTGGGTTTTTGTCTCGTTTCAGCAGAGCTCTAACAGGAAGGCTAGCAATAGTGTTCCTCCCACCACTCAGCTGCTAAAGGGGAAGCAGCCAGGTTCCCAGACACCTGTCAAAAAGGACAAGAGGCAGAGCTCCTCTCGCTTCAGCTTGAGCAACAACAGGGAGCTGCAGAAACTGCCTGCTTTCAAAGGTATTTATTGGTACAACAACTAAATCCTGTCCTCTAATCACATAATTAACTAACTTCCCAGTGCTCTATGTTTTGGACTTGTTGCAAATACATTTATACAAACAGAAGTGCATATAATAGAAATGCTGTTTTGAACCATGAAGGTTTGGCACTTGGTTGTGGAATTGTAGACAAACTGCCTTTTTGTGTGCAAAAATAATTTAAATTTTTTCAAGCCTGAACTCAGGAAGGCAAAATGTTCCTTTTAGGCAGGTAGGATAAGGAATCCCTGTAATCTTGACACAGATAAGTGCAGGCCTCACAGACGAGCATACTTACAAGCATGCACTTAGTTATTTGCTCATCGTTTCCACGCTGAAATATCTGAACATCCCCTGCTGCATCACCGTCATTTTAATACCAAGCTGAGCATGACATTACGCAATACATGGAAACAGACAGAGGACGTACATGGCATGGACTTTGTGCTGGATTTAACCCAAGTGTCTATATTTAGTGGTAATCCAGAGATAAAGCTTTAATTCCATGGTCCTTGTGTTTCAGGATGTTGCCAGTGACCAGAAATGTCTGCCAGCTATACTACTATTCCATGTCCCTTCCTCCCCTTGTAGGAGGGAAATTGGCAGATCTTTGCAGATGTATATTGACGTTTACTTTAACGTCTAAACCCAGTGCCAGATGGAAAGTGGGCACTGCCGTTAAGCCTCTGGGCATATTGTCTATGAATGGTTCTGTGTGTGCATGCATGCATGCATACACACAGCAATGATGTCTGCTGCCTTTTCCCAGCACTTTTAAAAATAATTATATAACTTGGCGGTGCATTGAAAACAAACAGCTATAACTGGATTATAGGTTGTTAAGTATCTGTGCAAATAGAAAGAGATTTTGCTGATGATAGTGGAAATAAAACTGACCGACCGAGCTTCGATAGTAATTAACAGCGAATAATCGAATCACCCCAAGGCAGACCCATGTACAGGACTAAGAAAGGGAGGACTTTGATAAAAGAGGAATATTTAGCAGGTGAAGAGCGAGGCAGAGTAAAAATAGATGCGCGCCGAACCGAGTTGGTGGCTGCTGTACAGAGCAGGGGGAACCTGAGTGAGAGAGTCTGATCCAAGCAGGTCCAGAGCGGAATCCGGGAATAGTCTAGCCGGGCAGGGGTCCAGACGGAGAGCAGACGGGTAGCGGAACTCAATCTAACATGTTATTATGCAAAATTCCCTTTTAACTTTTATTATAGCGACTAAATGCTCTTCTTCTACAATCGGCCTCATATAATTATTTTGATGTGTTCATTTTGTTGTTCCAGCCTACAGTTTACTGATTAATTTTAAAATGTAGGACATTTTACTATCTGTTAAATTAAGCAATTGTAAAATTAATAAAAGCCATAACTGTCACACTACTGCACTCAGTTTAAAGTGCTCCCACACAGCTGAGGGCTTCATTTCGTTTTCCCTTTGATGTGAACTGGAGCGTTCCATTCACTGCTGTCGGCGTAGGTTGGGCGCGAAAAAAACCCTCAATAATTGAATCTCAAAATTGAAAATCTAATGTACACCCAACGGTCGAATATTCGGGTCCAGCCTCTAATAGTTAGATGAGTAGAAATGATCAAAACTCAGAAAATATGTAGGAGAAAACCATCCATTTCTCATTAAAAAAAAGTAAAAATCCTAATTGCAATCCTTTATTGACGACCCAAATATCCCATTTTGACACATACATTTTCATAAGCAAAACAAAGTCCTTAACATTTGGACATGCTGCGTGCTGGTAAGCAGAATTATACATTGTTGCATGCATTGTTAAATTGTTTAGATTTAATACAGCTATGACATATGCATCAGTACTTGACGACGAAAGGCGTTTTTATTAAACATGTTTGTCTAGAAAAACAAACATTGCGTGTAGCGTGAATAGGAAATGGTTGCATGATTTACATCAGAACTTAAGATAAACCAAACTTGTCCTGTGAGTTGCAAACCTAGGATATCACCCGAGAGAACTGACTTTTAGCAAGACAGATTTTAGTATCACTGTCAGCCACTCAAAGGCCTTTTTATTATAAAAAAATGTTTTTTTTTTAGAAAAAAGTGCCCTTGTTTTCTGCTTCGCCCTTTAAGTCTGAATACCTTTCTTGCAGTGAGCCCCTCGCTACAGCAGACTACAGCAAAGGCAGTATTCCCTTCTGGGGGAATTTACAAATATTATTTGTTTCTTTGAAAGACTTTGATAATATGACAATGTGGAGTAACTATCTGTGACTAAAGGCAACAGCAGCTGTTGTTATTGTGTGCCATTTGTTCCCTGTTGAGACTTTTGTGTAATATAAGAATGAATTGACAAACAAAGGAGTTGATTCTAACATAAAATGTCTTAGTTAGCCATTACCCTTGTACTATGTCTAGAAACCAATAAGCAAAACGTTCTTGCTGATAAATGCTGTTCGCTTCCCACAGCCCAGTGGGAGCTTTGATAACATTCTGCAAAACATTATCCCACCGTGGCCTGCTAGATGTTATCACTTAGTCATGTCCAAACAGGCTCCTCGCTTGGCTTGTTTTCACTCCAGGCATGTTCACCTCCTGATGGAAACGCATCTCAGAGAGCCGCGAGGTTGAGTCAAGACTCAGAACCCTGACCAGAAGCAGGCCTTTCCCATGACCTCTCCCCAAAACCAAATGTGCTTGTTGTTGCTCCAGAAAACATTTTACCTGTCCCAGCATTTGCTTTCGGTAGCACAGCAGTTTAAATGTGTTGACGACCTGATATGGTGAGCTTTTGTTTCCTCTAGAGCTCTGCAAAAGTACACAAATCAAGACATTTGTGTTTTGGATCAATGTTTGGTAGAGATCTTTCTGTCTGCAGCTCGTAAACAGAAGATAAATTCTCTACAGGTGCATTTTAGTGTCGGTGTGTAGTCTCGTAATTGCAGTTTCCAAAAAGCGCAGAGCAAAAGTTGTTGCCCCTGGATGTGTTCTATTTCAAAGCAGGAGCTATCCTGCAAGGAGCATCTGTTTCATGGTGTTTGTTGCCATCTGCTGGTTATAGTATCAGCTATTTGAGTTACTGTAATGTTGGTTAACTGGAACAAACATTTCAGTTATCAGGGCAGTAATGTTATATAACCTACCTCTGTTATTTTAGCAGTGCAAAACAAACAGATACACTGATTCTAATCCATTTAAGTGTTTTTGCAGATAGAGTATATTGTCTGTGTTCAAAATTAACATGCAAAGTAACATATTTTCTGTAATAGGCTCTACAAACCTTTTGGAACAAATTGTATTTTAGTGTGGCACATGTTTATTTTAACTCTTTGGATAAACTAGAAAAAATATTTAATCATGTACTGGGTACATAATATTCTGCATCTACTTTGTAAATTTACTCCTTTTGTTGGTGGGCATTAGCTTAAGATTTTTAAATCTTAAACTGTATTATGAGGACACACTAAGGATTAGTGTTCTAAGATTGCAGGTTACTCTTTCGATGAGTCTCTGGCTTGTAATGGGATGATAGGTGACAGGGAAATGACACATTTCCTCTATTCCACCAAAATATGAGCTGTTGACCTATTTAAGACATGTTGTCCACCAAGGCAGACAAGAGATAGAAATATAGTTTCTACAGTGGTTTTCATTTGAAGGAACACTAAAGGAAACTTAAGAAATTGAATACGTAAGAAGAAGTAACGTTAGTAGTAGTCGAATGGTTTATTAGGTAAAACAAGAGAAATTGGGACAAATAAAAGTATTATTTAGCTCAAGAGCCAACGAAGTGTGTTGGCCACCATCGTTTCTCCTGCACGCTTGGAAAGGGATGGTTGAGCAGTGACTGATGGTGCATTCATGTGTTTCAGGATGTTGCCAGTGACCAGAAATCTTCCCTAAATCTTCCCTAAATCTTCATTGCAAAAATAGAATTAGTGTATATGGGATAAAAAGAAGTATACAGAACTTTGATTTGTGTACGTATTGCATATACATATTTTTCAGAAGAATGACTTCACAACTCGGAAAATGGGACCATCCAAGGAGTGCGTGAATGCAACGTGGGCCACTAGTTGCAATTCGCACACTGAAACTTTTAAGACAGAGTGTACTATAGTCTTTATCATGTTTCAGACTAATATATGTAGGCAACATACAAGTAGAGTCAAACCTATTGGACAAGAATGTTTAATGCTAATCCCATCTCTATAAAGTTATTATCTGGTTTGTTTTCGACAACCACGTTTAAACTTAGAAACTTAACATTTTAGTGTCTGGTAGGGTAGAAAACATGTAAAAAATAAAAAATTACATTGTTGGAAGATCCTTAAAGCAGGATATAAAAGGGAACAGCAGGTTTCAGGGAAGGGTTTCCTCTACCACTACTGAAGGTGATAGAGGAAAAGACTCCCACACCACATGAGAGAGACTTCCCTGATTAAACGCCACACAAATAAATACGAAAACAGAAGAACATAACTCACTAGCTGCCTTGAATAATTTGAAGGAAGTCAAATAATGAAACAGAAATATTGAAGTAACATTTAATCAAATAGTGTTATCTGCTTGACCTACAGAAGACAGTATGTGCCCACCCTGGAAAATTTTTCAAAACTGTTCATTATAGCAATCTACAGTAACAATTTTTTTGGCATAATGTCATGTTTTAAAAAGGATAGTTTTGTAAACAATAGTTTTTGATGCACCGAAATGAAAATTCTTGGCCGAAGCCAAAAATAATGAAAGAAATTGCCGAACAAGTACAGTCACATTTTTTCCCATTTATTTTGTAAATTTTTTTACCATGGCATAAATTGAATAGTCAGAATGTGCTTTTTACTCAGTGTTTCTCACAGGATTTGGAGAGAATATGGTGGGTGGGTCTGAGAGGGTCCGGTAAAGTAAATTACATGTGTCCATTTACTTTTAATGGACACGTAATATGTTTAATACTTTCTGTGAGTATAATCCAATTAATCTTATTTCCATACTCTATAG